GGCCCTCCATTGGAATTGACCAGCACAGGATTGGGGAGTTAAGTGCCCTGGTGAGAAGGTGTCAAGGGAGGCCCCAGGATGCTGGCCCTCCATCTGATTTGCATTCTCATTTTATTCCTTCCACGGTCAGCAGATACTCAGGCCCCACGTGAGGTCCTGGAGAGCCAGGCAGTTTGTCATCTAACCCTTGTCTTCAAGATGCTGTAAGTGCAGGTGAGGCCCCCTTTTTTCCCAGGTGGGCCTGTAGAGGCCCAGGAAGAGGGGTCGTTTTTTTTTTTGTCTGGAGTCAACTTAGCACAAGGGTTTCACTCTTCCTCACGCCTCTACCCCCAGTGCCTTCCTGTCCTGTCTCAGTGATTTTGTAATTTCTTGTCTCTTCCTCTTGGTGCTTTAAGCGTGAAATAACGACACTGTTACCCTTAGAAGCATTTGCACAGGAAATGACTCCTCCCAAGCTGTGCACTTGCTACTTGGGTAAAGTTGGCCGGTGGCAGGCGTCAGGTGACATTTGTACTCATTCATTACCTATCAGTCACATAAATTTGAGCGAGGCAGAGGAAGACGTAACCAGCCCTGCTTTCTCAGTACCAAACGTAGCAAACTCCCTCCTTTCTGCAGTGAAACTTGGGGGCCCTGGGGGCAGACGGGGAAATGCCAGAGCCTCCTTGCTCTGTCTGGAATCCCAAAATCAACTCTTAAGCAGAAAAAGCCGACTTGGATGTGAGGAGAATCTCCTAATCTCACTTTTGCCTCCTTCTGGCTGTGACTTGAAGCAAATCACTTAAAACCTCTATGAACCTGTTTCCTTACCTCTGAAATGGGTGTGGAAATGCCTGGCTAAAAGGACAATTACGCATGCGCCAGGCGTTTAGCATCCCTTCAACAATCGTTGGCTAGTCCGCTGAGGACTAACTACTAGCTACCCTAACAGGTGGGCCTTAGGCCAAGGGTCTTCTACTTTTCCTGCTCCCCACTCGGTGGGGGGTTAGTGCGGAGCCGTCCTCAGAGAGGCTGTGTCTCCCCAATCACCCGATGCCTTTAAAGCCCTGGCATCCCGCGTGTGGAGTCCGTTTGCGGAGCGCGGGGACGCCACGGCCGGAAGGCCACGGGTGGGGTGAGGCGCACGAGGCGGTGCTCGGAGCGGGATCAGGTGTTTTGAGCCACCAGACCTGGAGTCAAGTGCGCAGTCAGGCCCGGCCGAGCCCCAACTTGCGGGCTCCAGCAGCGTGCTCCCGGGGCTCGGCACCGCCCCCCGCGCCTCCCACGCGCGGACTCCAGGCAAGGCTCGCCGGGCCCCCGGGGCCCACGCGGCGGGCGGAGCGAACTGGGGCCTTTGTGTTCAAACAGCCCAATGGGCGGTGGCAGTGGGCGGTGACGCGGGCGGGGCCCGGCCAATGGGCGGCGGCCTGTCAGCGTTGATTGGCAGACGCACACATACACACTCGGCCACGCGCGCGCCGGCCGGCCCCACTCGCGCAGCGCGGTTCTGCGCGGGCCTCATTGTCTGCTGCGCCCTTCGGCCCGCTGGCCTCGTCCCGCGCCGCGCGCCCGGGTCCCCGCGCCTAGCGCCACTCGCAGGATTCGGACGCGGGAAGGGGGCGCGCCCAGGCGGCGCAGCGGGCCTCGGACGCCCCCGGCCCCGCACGGAGCAGCCGCGGCAGCAGGTAACAGCCGGCGGTAGGCCTCTGGCGGGCGGACGTGCGGGGCAAGGGTGGTAGGCGGGGTTGGTCGGCCTTTCCCGCCTCCCCGCGGGCCCCGGCCGGACCCCGGGGTCACCGTCGGGCCGCCCCAGCCAGGGCCGAGCTGCCCAGGCCTGGTTCTTCCTCTCCCGGCCAAGCCGGGCTGGGCTCCAGCCCCGCCTGGCGCACGCCCCTGGGCCGGTCGGGAAGGGCCAGCGCCGTGCCGGGGCCAGCCGCCCTGACTCATCTCCGCAGCCCGCCCCCCGTCCCCGGGGCCGGCCGCCCACTGGTCAGCCCGGAGGGCGGATGTCTCCAGGCGGGACTTCCCCGGGGCAGAACCTCCCCGAGAGGAGGGGAGCGAGAACCGGGCTACCTCAAACCGGCCCAGGGCAGTGCCTGTGTTTTCGTGCCAGGCAGGCAGTTTCCAGGGACAGGCAGTTCTCTGCCCTCTGCCTGTCAGACTCCGGGAATAGGAGGGAGGCCCATTTTGTTCAGTTCTTAAAAAAAGAAACCAAACAAATAGGAGGCGGGAGTGTGACTTAGTGCAGAGCCGCAGGGAAGGCGCGTGGTTAGTTTAAAAA